ACAGGGTACTGACTTACTGGCACACACTGGGTTAACAATTGTAGTGTGAAGAGTGGAAGAAAATACATACCCAGAAACTCCACCGTCATGATAATGCACTGATTTTTGTCAGGTTTTTGTAACTTTTACATTATATGTTTTAAGTAAAGCAAATTTATGGTTGGTTATATGTATTAACTCAATAATTATTTAAAACTCATTGCTTACTTAATTACTTATAGTAAGAAATATACTTTAAGTACACCCATTGATTGCAGAATAACTTGGGAAAATATGTATTATGAGCCAACATTTATAATACATTGCTTCTTTTTAGTATTGCTTCATGGATCTGTGAAATGTAGTACATGGCTAATGATCCTCTGCAGAAAGAATTTATGGAATTTAGAACAAATTTCATAAAACAGAGAATACTGTGATATAGAAAGGCAAATGATAAAAATTTACCAATAATGCTCAAGATATGTTTAGTTCTTAGTATAACTTAGTATAACTGCCATTATTAAATTATACTTTCCAACAGGTAAAGAAAGTATTCCCAAGTGATTGTTTATACTGGGAGGAAAATCACATTCTGACTCATATGGGTCTGACCAATATTGAACATAAAGGGAATACTGTCCCTTCTAAAATTGCACTGCTCTCTATATATGTATACCAAGAGCCAGTCAAAGGAGAGTAGGATGACATATTAATTTTATTGAATATCTATTCTGATATCAGAATTACCTGACATTGAGAATTACTATTTATCCAAAATTAAGCTAAAATTATATGTAATATCTTATTTAATCATCTTTATCAGACCAGTTAATCATTTTCATTTTAACAGATGAGTGAAGTAAATGAGAGATATGGTAATCAATTTGCCCAGGATTACCTACTAAAAATTGGGAGAGATAAGATTTGAATCCAGACACTTTAAGATAGCACCTGGGTTATGATCACCTTATTATCATATACAATTGTATGAGCAAGAGAAAGAGGGGGAGAGAGAAGAATATATAAATATATATATATATATATATATATATATATATATATACACACACAAAATGCATATATACACACATACACAAGTATAGATACACTTTCATTAATACTGTTAGAGATAAACATGCATAAACATTCATTATGCTATGAACATTTCTAGCCAATACCCATCTTTAATTGTGAATGTTATTATTTTAATTGTTCTCTTAATAGTATGGATTGCTTATATTAACTTGATAATAACTGTAGCTACTTGAAGACAAGGAATGTCAACACAACTCTTGGAAATGGCACAGATAACAAAGGAGGAAATTCCAGTGGTTGGGAATCCAGGGTTTTAGTTGATCACTTTGAAAGTAAGCCTTTGTAAAGTTTGGGCTACAGTCGCTGTTCACTGAACTTCTGAAAAAGAATTCCAAATCTGTGGCCCCTTCCTTCAGTTTCTGCCTTCTCCCATCCACCTACTCCCAACACGCCCCCCCCCACCTTTCTGTCTCAAGCAGCTGGTTCTGTGCTTCTTAACTGACATGTTCCAGTGGCTTTTCTAGCCATGCATCCCTGTGAACTTCTCAGCAGCAGCAGCAGAGCATCAGTTATGCTTGTAACTGCTCTTGCATTAGTCTTAAAGTCCTTAACGATGCTACAGTCTCTTCCTAGGATAAAACATTCCCCTTTCCTGCTTTCTCTCAAAAATTATTTATTGCTCCCTATTGCTTTAACTCTATAGCATGCTCATAACGTGTTTTCTCCTTCACTATATGAGGGCCTAATACTCTGATGCCCATACTGCTCATAGAGTGAGTCAGTGAATGGGAAATGCCTTACAAACAACAGAAACAAATGACAAGCAAGTATTCTAAGATGTTGAAATTTTATTTGTAGAGTTTATTAGAAAACCCTTTGTCTGTGAGAGCTTCAGTATATGAATAATATATAGAAGATGCTACATCAAGTTTGAAATAAGTTATGAGAATAGAAATAAGCCAAGAGAATAGAAAAATTATACATGAAGGTCATTTTGAGACTTTATTGCAATGTGTAGTTTATGAGAATGAAGAGATAGCAAAATTGTCTGGCTAGTAATGACATTGATTAACATTTTATATTACAAGGGAAATTAAAGCCAATTAAACCCATACAATTGGCAAAGTTTCTGAAAATTCTGCAATGTTTAGTTATAATTTTGTGCCAATGTTATTAATTTAAAAAGTTAGTGTAAATGTTAAATTATCTGTAGTACAGATAGAGCATATACTAAAATTTTGATGTAATTGCTTGTAGTTACAGTTATGTTCAACTGCAAAATTTATAACTGGACCCATCTCCTCATTCTTCACCCAAGTTTCAACTCTTAATATCTCTCCCACTTTTTGTGTGAGCTTAGTCAAACTTTCTGGAATGCATCATTAACTCACTCTTTTTTTTATTAAATTATTTGCTTATCCTAATTTGTTATACATGATGGCAGAATGCAATTCATTTCATATTACACATACAGAGTACAATTTTTCAAGTCACTGATTGTACACAAAGTATGTTCACACCATTTGTATCTTCATACATGTACTAGGGTAATGATGTCTAACTCATTCCACCATCTTCCCTACCCTCTTGCCTCCTCCTTTCCCCTCCCTCACCTTTGCCCTATCTAAACTTCCTCCATTCCTCCCATGCTCTCCACCCAATTAATCGCCATTATTCGTCAGCATCCTATTATCAAAGAAAACATTTAGCCTTTGGTTTTTTTGAGATTGGCTTGCTTCACTTAGCATTATATTCTCCAACTTCATCCATTTACCTGGAAATGCCATGATTTTATTCTCTTTTAATGCTGAGTAATATTCCATTGTGTATAGAGACTAAAGTTTCCCTATCCATTCATCTACTGAAGGGCATCTAGGTTGGTTCCATAATTAGCTATTGTGAATTTTGCTGCTTGATATGGCTGTGTCCCTAGAGTATGCTGTTTTTAAAGCCTTTGGATATAAACCAAGAAGTGGGATAACTGGGTCAAATGGTGGTCCCTTTCCAAGTTTTCCAAGGAATCTCTATATTGCTTTCCAGATTGGCTGCACCAATTTGCAGTCTCACCAGCAATGCACGAGTGTGCCCTTTCCCCCACATGTTCAGCAACACTTATTGTTGTTTGTATTCTTGATAGCTGCAGTGAGATGAAATCATAGAGTTGTTTTGATTAGCATTTTTCTAATTGCTAGAGATGTTGAACTATTTTTCATATGTTTGTTGACTGACTGTATATCCTCTTCTGAGAAGTGTCTGTTTGGATCCTTGGCCCATTTATTGATTGGGTATTTGTGTTTTTGGTATTAAGTTTTTTAGTGCTTTATATATCCTAGAGGTTAGTGCTCTATCTGATGTGCTTGTCTTGCTGCAGGCCTCTGCCATTTTTTTTTCCTCTCTCTCTGGAAAGAAGAGTCTTGCTTTCCATTTTTCATATTAATTTCCTACTCATTTTTAGCCACTATCATTTTTAGCCTCTTTTTTTTTTTTTGGTACCAGAGATTTAACCCAGGGGTACTTAACTACTGAGCCACATTCTCAACCCTTTTTATTTTTTATTTTAAGACAGGATCTCACTAAACTGCTTAGATCCTCTCTAAGTTGCGGAGGCTGGCTTTGAACCTGTGATCTTCCCGCCTCAGTCTCCTATGCCATCTTAAGCACAATTTAAAATTTACTTCATAAAGAACAATTCTCTGGCTTCCTAATCTATACTGATTAATATCATATTCTTATTTTTATAAAAACACATAATAATTGTACTAGCATGTTTATTGTTTTTGTTTTTTATTTAATATCACCAACACACTCCCTAGACATAAGATCCAAATTTAAAAGTACTTTACAATCTGTTTATTTCTGGACTGTACTCAAGGAACATTAATTTTTTTTTCTTTTTCTTCATTTAGACAACATAGGAACATCATAAATACAAAAAGAGCACATTTTCTTTTTAGTTTTTGAGCATCTACTGGCAGCAAGTGTCAGAGCTAAATTCTGCAACACTGGAAGTAACTAACTGCCTTTTATTATCTCTTTTCCAGCAATTACAAGAATACAAGTGAGATGAAAAGAAAATAGTTATTATTTTTAAATCACTGTCAAAACAGAGACTTTTTAACATTTTCTGTGTTTTATGATGATACATTTACTTGCACATTTCCATCTAAGGAAATGATTAAAGACACCAATGATTAACCTTTTGGCAATTTTCAGTACACCGCCTATGTATTTCAAAAGCTATAATCTGAAAAATTACATTAGGTTACTCTATTTCATAAATTCTTAGTGGAGTTTTTTCCACATTTTAACATCTCTGAAAATTGGAATGCACTTTTTTTGAAAAGTCTGGTAAGACCAAGAAATTGCCAATTTCAGAATCCTTTTGACTCAATGAAATATAGTTACATAAGTGAGGAAAATGTGTTTTTTTTTTAAAGAAAAATTCAATGTAATTGCTATAGACAAATTAGAATCATTTTCTCTTTCATCTCTCATGGAGAATATTTTCATAATTGCTTAAAATTTTCCAAAATCAACTCAGTGAAAACCTAACATGTTTATAAAGCTTTTTTAAAAGTCTGTATTTTACAAACGTAAGCATTTTTTAATTCCAATGTCTTGACAGCTTTGTTTGAAAGAAACGGGATTGTACATCACCCTTTCCTATAGTCATAAACTTGAGTTTTATGTTTTAAATGGCTTGGTAGTTATGTTACAGTAAGAGTTGAAGGAAGAAAGCCCAACTTATATTTTATGGATATGCATCAGTGTGGATAGAGAGGAATAATGGATTTGGTGCGAACTTTAAGCCTGGAGTTTTGGTAACTTCAGCCATTTTTAATGAAGATTTAGTGACAGCAGAGTGTTATCTTTTTGATGGTGGCGTCGGCACCTTGCATTCAAGGCTGATTGATGCAAAGTCTGGTTATGTTAGCAATATGAATTGATGTATGCCAGCTGGTGTAACTCCAGGTTTTCATCAGGACAGTGACCTGCTGGACCGGCGGAAACATTGCTTCACTGTGCAGTCTGAGTCTGGGGAAGACCTCTACTTCTCCGTGGAGTTAGAGTGTGACCTTGCCCAGTGGGAAAGAGCCTTCCAAACGGCCACCTTTCTAGAAGTAGAACGGATACAGGTGAGAGTCTGGAAGGTAGCACCTGTGATAACCAGGGTTGCACAACCACAACCCTAGTGTTCTCATATAATCTCACGGCAGTATAAAATGACAGTCTAGTGAGTACTGACCTCCCTCTCAAATACATTAAATATTTCACCATTATTTTTAAATGAATGATAAAGCACCTCTGAATAATATTTTAGTTGTCCCACAACTTTAACTTTCTACACTATTTCCTACAAATCCTCAAAAATACATTTCTAATGTATTTGGACACTGTTCTACTTTGAATCTTTATAGAGAAAATGCTCTAATTTTAGTTCATTGTTTCCAAGGTCACATCCCATTCTCCAAACCTGACCACCTAATTTGTAGCCTGTTGTCTTCTTTCACACATGGTGCCCTTCTAGAAAACCTTGCCTTTGGTGCTCTTGAAAACCATACATAGCATTTAAAACTTTTATTCAAAGTTCCTGTCACCCAGGAACATTTCTCTGACTTCTGATGTGTTCTGCTCACTGACTATCATGATTCCTTCCACAAATCCTGTAAAAACCCTTTTTTCTTCCCACTTTTGAAAACATTATCACTTTCTTAAGTCTTGGATTGGAGTGACACAGGGCCATTCCCCACACTAAGCTGTAAGCGGCTTGAGATTATTTTATTCACCTAGCCCCTGAAGTCCAATGCATTTTGCGCACATCAATTAACCAATAGATATTTACTGAAATTTCATTCTTCAAGTTATAGTCATATCTAGATCAAACTTCAGAGGGCCTTCAGCCTCAATTCATGAGATCATGAAATGGGACAGTTGCCCAGACCTCTAACAGATCTGTAGAAAAATTAAAATATTATAATGCATTTGTGCCATGCAAATGGATCCATAAATCAAAGACCTAAATACATATATGAACACTTAATTTTGGAAACAAATGTAATAGTTTAACATTGCATGTACCAGTATGGTAACCTATAGTAAGAGAGATGTATGCATGGTTTTAAACAAATTAAACTGATTTCTCTGATGACTAAGAGGAGTCACCACCTCAAGTTGCACCAGCTTGACATTTCAATCACAGAAATAGGATAGAGAGAAATCTCAAATTTTGGTAGTTCAATTGTTCATTTGACATTTTGTGATAATTCTAGTTTTTTCTTCATATATATAAACAGTTACAGAGTCTCAATTCAGTAAAATAGGTGTTTTATTTTTAGAGAGAGAGAGAGAGAATTTTTTTAATATTTATTTTTTAGTTTTTCAGTGGACACAACATCTTTATTTTATTTTTGTGTGGTGCTGAAGATCGAACCCAGCGCCCCGCGCATGCCAGGCGAGCATGCCACCACTTGAGCCATATCCCCAGCCCAAAATAAGTGTTTTAATGTCAAAAATGGAAAGAAGGAAAGCATCTTAAAACACTGTTTATTTTTTTGTTTTGTTTTGTTTTTTTGTTTTCCCCCCATACTGGGAACTGAACTCAGGGGCCATTCAGCTACCTCACCAGCCTTTTTTTTTTTTTTTTTGAGACAGGGTCTTATTAATTTGCCAAGGCTGGTCTCAAACTTGTGATCCCCCTATCTCAGCCTCCCTAATCTCTGAGATTATAAACATGTTCCACTGTGCCTGGCTAATATTTTATTTTACATGTTAACATCTAAGGACATTTTTAAAAGTCACAATATAATTTAATTGAAAAGGAATTGGCAAATTTTAGTTATCATTTATCTGGAATATTTCACTTCACTTGGAAATAATAATTATCAATTTTTGAACATAAGTCTGAAGTTAAGATTTCATTATAAGTTTCCCATTCTTTAAACATAAGATAGAGGTGAAATTATGCTCTTGCTTTATATTTTAGACCTGTTCTTTGATTTCGGGTTTTGTGTTCTCTTACTTGATGTTGCATGAAATGTTTTGAACTATTCTATGAGTTGCTCACAGAGTCAGATTAAAATATATATCAAAAGTGAAAAGCCAAATATTTAATGTCTTTTAAGCTTTGAGCTTTTCTTAAGATTTTACCATTTCTTTTTGTTAGTCGTGATTGGCTGAATACTTGGTACTATTATTTTCAATATTCAAATATGTGAATATTTTTACATAAAAATATGTTTTTCTTTTGTCTTTTCAATGTTTTACTATCATTAAAGTTGGTAAATAAAATAAATTTTAGCATTAATTTGATTTGCATTTTTTTTGCTTGGCTATAGACAGCTGTCATCCCAAAGGGCATATATATCATAAAAATATATATAACCAAAATTAAACAATAAATATATATTTCTATATTGAAAAATACTAAGTACAATTGTGATATGTTTTAATTAACATTATACATTAGAGAATTAAGCTTCAGTGGGTCTCAATTTTAAGAATATTTTTTTGTTTCAATTTGATGTTTATTGAAACAATGCAATTTAATCTGTAATGCTAAACTTAATGAGAGAAATTTAATGCATTATACTAAATATGTTTTCACCTTGAAAATTTTTTTTAAAAGACAGTACTTGAAAATAGCAACCAATTAAGTCTAAATTAGAATGAACTGGTATAGCATTGAACATTCCTTAATGTTGATGGCACTTTTAATAAAGTACTAATGGATGAAGGCAAGCATTCAAGATGCCCCTGTATTAAGCAAATATAATCATACACATAAATGGACTTTTGAGGCTCATTAAGTATATCCTCTAATCTACGTATTTGAAAAAATTATACTCCAAATGAATAATTTTGTATGGTTATAATTGTCTTAATATTTTAAAATCAGGCTTAAAGACATGTATATGGCTTTTTGGTAAAAAGAATCTGATCTATTTAGTCATGATTACAGTCACAATGTGATTCATTAGTATATTTTATATGTAATATAAAAGTAAATGTGAAGTATACATTGATATTGAACATTTACTTGAGATAGTATTCTCCCTCTCACACACATTCTATATGTGAATTATATGTGAATTAATCATTTGAATATCCCATTATAGTTTGAAATTAAATGCAAGTAAAATTGGCCTATTTACATAACAATGCACCATGTTGTACATAAGGCCTAAGTCACTTCACATTTTATTTGTATAATTGTATCTTTAATTTGTATAATTGTAAATTTTATTATTTTTATTTATTTGTTCTCCCAAAATATTTACAAAAGTTAGAATATACTCTGATTTCTGTGTCAAAAGGCATTGCTTGCATATTTATAGATATTTTCAATCCTGGGTATTGAACCCAGGGTTTTGCCAGTGCTAAGAACTCTACCACTGGAACTCTACCACTGAGCTACACCCATGGCCCAAACTTGTTGATTTTTAAAGAAACAAATACAGGCAAGTGGTAAATGTTTGAACTTTGGGTAATAACTTGTACCATATGGAACACCCACAGAGACTTTCAAGGCCAAGAAATATTATTTTGCCTTGGTTACTGAATCTGTGTTTATGTGCCGGAGAGTTCTTTTTTAATTATGTCCATGAAATGAGAATGTAAGTAAGAACTTAATCTTTTAAAATGTGGTGATATTTGACTACAGGATATAACGACTTAACATGATCTTGCCTACTCTTAAAATTTTATGCAGTTTTATTGTCAATATAGCAAGGAGTAACAATTTTGCACAACATAAAGACATGGTAAGAAGCAAGACTAGAAACTTGGCCTTGAGAACCCCTAGAAAAAAATCATAGAAACATTCTTTGCTTCTGTTTTACTAATAGATATATCAATAAAACTCTCCTCCTTATGCAATTATTTTTGATATTAGGTAATGTATAAGCTGCTTGGTATGGGAGCTATCACATATACCTCAATATTAATATTCCATCAATCCTATGAAAACTAACAGTATCTATTCTGTCTGTGTCTAGTGCAAGACGTATGCCTGTGTGCTAGAAAGTCATCTAATGGGCCTCACCATTGACTTTAGCACAGGATTTATCTGCTTTGATGCTGCAACAAAGGTAATGTGTTCACATGGACTTTAAGAGATGTGTTGCCTATATTTTAATTTGAGAACAAATTATGTCCTTTCAGCATTTTAATTGGTTAGTAAATGTCAAATTAAAGATCATTTGTGTTAATGAAACAAACATTATATTACTCTGTTTTTAGAAAAATAATTTCAATATTTTTAGTTGAACAAATGTGGTGCAAACATAATTGTCCAAAATAAATATATGTCAACCTATCTTCCAATATAAATATAAACATAAAATAAATAAATAATGTATATTGTATTTCTTTGTTCCTAAAGCTACAGCTTCATACCTGAAGGTATGAATTTTCTTCCCCCCTCACTAAAAAAATTAAAAAGCATTCTTTTATTATTTTTCTGTATCGATACCTATAAGCTGAAACTGAGGGAAAAACATGTTTTAGTTTGTATAAGTGACATGTTAGAGTTATAGATATAGTGGTGGAATTTGAGGTTTGAAGTTTTTAACCTGGGATCATATCCTTTGTAAACATTTGATTCAAAAATGATTTTGTGCTATCTGATAAATTGCCTACTTCACAATATTTGAATATGTGGGAGAGATATATGTTGAGTTGAAAGACACACCTTCTCACCTAGTCATGTATGAAAATTATTGAACCTTGGTGACTATGGAGTGACACATGACAAAGCCAAAGCATTACACATTATTATTTAATTGGGAGTGACCATTGAGCTCCACAGATCTCATCCAGCTGCTAATTTCATTCCAGTCATTGCTACAGTTTCAGATGGGGACTCTCTTCCTCAGAGAACACTTACATTCTCTTCCTTCCCATCAGGACATCTGATCCCAAGATCCAATCCACTTCCTCCTTTTGCCAAAGTGTGGCCTAAGATATAAATGGACATATTTCTTCTTACTAATTTTAAGGATTAATAAATAATCTCTTACTAGGAAACACACATATTTTATCTAGAAATTAAGATGTGTATAGTATTTTCAAAAGCTATTGCAAACAAAATAAGGGAATGACTCAAATGTCTGAGGGAGGTGGAGTATAGAAGACAGTGGGGAGTGTTCTGATCCTTTGATGATGGAAGTCTAATGTTGGGGAGCAAAGAAAGCATCATAGACAAATAGGATGCCATCTGGTGCTCTGAGAAATTGTGACATTTCATGATCCAGTGATTGACATTGTCAGGTATAAATTTACATTATCTAAGAATTTTTTTTAATTTAACATTGTGGAATTAAGTAGTCATACAGGTCACATTTGGCCATTTAGTGTATTACTTTAGCTTGATGCTCAAAAGAATACTTCCGTAAAGAAGGAATTTTAGATGCAAGTGGCTCATTTGAATTCTTAATGAGACTGCCATCAAATCAGGATAGGACCATGTTAATTTTGTAAATTAAATACTTTAATGATTAATCAATGTTAGTATTCAATTAATTTAATGAATAACTTTAGTAATAAATTAAACATTATCAAAAAGGTAAGGTCTGATTTTAGAAAGGAAATATTATCACAAGTCATCAAACTCTTATCATGTGAATGTGAAAGAACCTCATACTGGTAAATTATAGAGAAGCAAAAGTCATCTGAACACATTTCTGGTGTCTGAATTTCTTGAATTTACTTTTGAGACTAGTATAATCCAAATCCTTCACTGTCCTTCATTTTCTGATCCTATCATTGGAAGCCTGGACCTTCGAGGTAATCTGAGATTTGATAAGGGAAGTACAGAATACATAAGCACTACAATGAATACGCCAATAGTGTTCATCACTCAGACTGTGGCATGTGGAGAGTGAGAGAAAACTATTGATATTAAGTCAGGGCAGCATTCATAAGCAGAGTCCTGAACAAGTGAACCACCTCATAGTTTTGCTGAAAGAATTTTGCCCCACTCAATGAAATGAGCCTAGAAGGAATTTTTAAATCCGAAAAAGAAAGTAAAATTGTTATGTAGACATTAAAATATTTTGTTCTAACAGTTTATTAAAGTAAATAATATACAACTATTTCATTTATTTGATAGTCATGTGTGGAAAGTATCCTTAAGCTTGGCAGATTTTCCAAAGTGTTTGAATTACCTTCACTGCAACAGTCCTGCTCATACCCCTTTGCTGAGCTGAGCATTTTATCATGTACTTCACCTTGACCTGCTCCTTCAAACTTAATATACTGAGGAAGCAAACCAAAGCTCCTATAGTAAAGTGTACAGTCCACACAAAGGAGGACAGGCAGTCTTCTGAATCACTAAGTGCAGTTTCATATGAAGTAGATACTGCCCTGTTAATACATCAGTGAAAGGGTAATTGCTACATTAAATTTTTCTTCAACATAGCAATTGTATTTTTCATTTCTTACAATATTTTTTAAAATAAATAAAAATATGAATGATAATTTTAAAAAAACTAAAAGATGAGGTTGGAAACTTTCATGGTAGGTATGGGAGCCTGTCTAATTTTTATTACACTAGAAATCTAAAACTTTGGAGGTACAGTGCTACTTCGGAATGTCAAGCTAATTCTCATTACTTGCCACCTGTGCTTGAAAGTTCTCAGGGTAAATTACTTCCTTTGATTTTCCAGAGAATACAAGAGGCAATAAAAAGCACTGTATTTTACGTAGGGTGGTTTCTGAGAGCAGCCTCAGGGAATTGGTTCTAGGACTATTACAATGCAATTGCTATGTAAATAGTTGTTATACTGATTGTTTAGGGAAAAATGACCGGGACGAATTATCTGTACTCATTCTATACTTGTGTACTTTTCCTCATGTTTCTTCCCCAAGGCCATGTGAGTCTGTAGGTAGAAGGAGAGCCACCTCTACTTCAGTTGTCATTACCAACCTACCAAAGGCTGTGTGTGTTTTTGTGTTTCCCTTAGAGTTTCTGAGTGATTCCCTCACACAAAGTTGATTGTGAAGCTCAGAATGTTCTCATTCTTCTTAAAATGCATACTGTTCAGCAGTAAATAAGAGTTTTCTCACTATTGTGTCAGAGTATAATATTGTAGTATTTATATAAGACACATAGCTAAAAGTCGCCAACAGGTTCTTTTAAATAAGTATATTTACATTAATTATTTATATTTAGGGATAGAATTATTGTGTAAAAAATTCAGCAGTAACATCTGCAAAATATTCTTTTGATTTGTAAATAAATACTCAGTGAATACCTGCTATCTATAAAGAGAAATAGAAGGGCCATATATGTCAGTCTTTGCAGATTAAGCAAGGTTTCAAAGAAATCACCTTTCACAGACAAAGAGAGGGTAAAATTATCCAGACATATATCTGCAAACAAAGAACAGAGTTGGAGAGCATAGGAGAAGAGAGATCAAATTTATGGATAACTAAGAACTAGCTTAAGAAAGAGGTCTTACTAAGGAATTTGGACTCAATCTTAACAGAGAAACACCTAGAAGAGTTTGAGACATGGGGAAGAAATGGTTGGAGGTGTACAAAACTAGTAGCATACCATACAATTGGGCAAAACTCAGAAGCTAAATTTTCAAAAATCTCTCCTCCAGTGGGTGTCTCCCTCTCTATGAGGTTCTTCAGAAAACTGTGCATGGAGGATAAAGTCAAAGGAAAATATTGTTGCAAAATGAGAGGGACAATTGTAATGGGTCCCTAGTGCTGGCTGGGCAAAATAGCCGGGGGGTGACGAACAACTTGTGTACATTGATACTGCAGGAGTGGGAGCCATTTATTGTAGGACAGGAAGGGTATATATACATTACACAGAGCTTATCTTAATTAACATAAACTAGATACAGCAGTCAACCAATAAGGAATCTCCACACTTAATGGCTCGCTGGCGTTACTTCACAAACCACTCCCTCTGGCAAAATGCCAGGCGCCATCCTGACTTGTTTACAGACCCTAACACCGTAGGACTCTACAATGTTCAGTATGACTGAAAGTGAAGTTTCAAGGAGGGATAAAGTTGTAGAAATGATTAGGATTACATGATCAAGACATTTGACCTAAGTTTAATTTATAATGTGGAAGGCTACCCTAGCTGAAGCACAGATTTCATTAATGGGTGGGACCAACACTGAAGCAATTGACATTTATTTTTTCCTCTCAGTGGTTTAGAAGAATAACTTTCAAAGTTTGTATATAAGTGTTTGTAGGTGTGTGTTTTGATGCTGGAATTGAATCCAGGTCCTTGTAGACCTGCTGTTCAGGCAATCTACCACTGAGTTAGAAATCCAGACCCAGACATTTTTCAAACTATAAAATTTTATAGAAAAAAGAGGCACAAACTTTTTATTCATGTCAGACTGATAACCTCTGGATTCCAGAGACTGAAATGAGGATAAAGGCATTGGGGGAATCCCACATGGGTTCACCACTTACCCCTTATTCCACTCTAGGTCATGCTTCTGCTGCAGATTTGAAAGGCTCTATTGGCTGTAAATGGAGCGGAAGGAATATTCATACTGTGTAAATGCCCATTGTGAGGATTGGGACACCATAAATCTTCACTCTTAATCCTGGGTAAAAGTATTTTCCAAATTACTGCTACTTCCTTGGTTGCTCAAAATTATTTTAGTCTGATAGGTGTTTTTTTTTTTTTTTTGTTGTTGTTGTTATTGTTTTAATAGTTGAAATTATGAAATGCTCAGATACAATAATAAAATATCTTTTTTTTACTACAACATATCTAAGGGCCAGTACAGACACATAGCAGATTAAAATACTTCTGAAAAAAATATGATTGGTTAACAGATGTATGAAGATAATAAAGTTAAAGTTTAAAAAGTACCTTATTTAGGCATTACCTCTCTCACATAGGAGAAGCTATTGTAATGATTTTAGGGTTCCTTCTTATCTCCATTACTGATTTTCAGTGAATGTTAAATGGAACACATTACCTGAAAGTAATTTGTAACCCTTCATGCACATGTATAGTAACCTTTGATTTAGCAGTTTGAATTCTGTGCAATAAGGGACAATATAACCTTAACAAAATCACTTCCTTCTGATTTTCCAGGTCTTTTCG